AAACTCGCGCCTCTAAGCACTGGGCCACGAGCTGCTGTGCGGCTGCTGGTTGGGCTCGAAAGAGAGATAGCCCGTAAAGCACAACGGAACGAGTGAGTTCCATAAGAACAATCGGTGAGCACCCCCTACCATTGTATATTCCCGATCGAAACCAATAGGGCAACGGGCTGGTGGCCCAGTGGTTAGAGGCGTGGACTTCTAACCAACAGGTCGCGAGTTCGAGCCCGGGGGTTCCACACTTCGGGGTTGGGTATGACTGGCTGACGACGGCTAATAAGCCAGAAATGGCCATTCCAGTCTCCTTTGTCTTTGTCGGTAATGCCATTCTGCTTATAGATCTGTATATAGGTTGCATTTTTTTTCATGAAATAGAACATTAAATGTGATCGCATGAAGAATGAATTAACAAACGGTCAGATAAACGCATGAGTAGAAGATTAGGTGATGGGTATCACGACTGCCAACGACCGTCTAGGTTGTCATGAGAACCACGTTGTAGGAGGAGAAGTGGATGGGGTGAGAAGGTAGCTGCGTGTCACTCACGTAGAGCATTGCAGAAATCGACCTGTCTAAACCTATCGGGAGATCTGGGACTGCCATGTTAACCTTTGGAATTTTGGCAGTTCCGAATAATTAATTTGACTCAGTTGTGAAAACCTTGTCGAATTTGAATTTGAGACAATAAAGGCGAGGCAAGGGCACAGCCAACGTCCGAATCACCTGAGCTACGAGGTCCCGATCGGGGGCCGTGGGTTAAATCACATTTTGTCAAAGCTACCCCTCCCCCAGACTACTGCAGTGTATGAAATAGATCAGTTTTAATACAGTAAGTTGTCTTTCCAAACGAGATTTCCTAAGCCATCAATCGAACATCCACCAGACAACTACCAGGCTCGCCTTTTGAGGGATTCTTTTCCAGTAGATTTGACTCAAATGTCATTAAACTCACGGCTACCGTTCGGGAAATCGTAATTCAGGTGGTTAGAGCGTCGGCTTGGCTCGAGCCTTGCTCTTGCTGTCGTGGGTTTGAGTCAGGTCTGCGGTCAAAGTTATTGATTTTTACGGATCCAGAGGTTTCGAGAGGAATCGTAATTAACAGCCGTGGCCAGCGCTGTCGTGGGAATTTGTCCACTTCATGCTGCCACAACAACGACGTTCACCTGGCTACTGACTTCATGAAGAACGAATTGACATGTCTTCTACTGGACAGACGGTCTCTTGAAACTGTGCCACCATTCGCCTCTTCTCCATTCACCCCTCGACCTATTTTACTCTAGTCAACTTTGCTAATTTATCAGCTTCTCTGTTTATCTTACATTATTTACGAGACGTTCAGCGTACTTCACTGAGCCCTTTTTGAAGGCAACAAAAACTAGTGTAAATAGTGTAGCGGATTCACTCAGAGTCGTCCATCACATTGGCAGCTGCAGTTTTGTTCTACACGAAAAAAGGCACCTATGCCGTTGGTAAGCCGCGTTTAAGTGCCAAACGTGTAACTCGCTACCCATTTCAGTTTTCTTTTTAGGCACAGTGTCGTTCCATTTTTGGTGAAAATCATGGCACAGACCGTCAGAAGGGCGCGTGAAACATGTGACTGAATGCAAGCCCCCGTTCTTCTGTTTTCTCCGAATAGGCGGAGAGTTATCACATGCGCCAAAATCACAGGCGGTAAGATGTGGTTATGCAGCTACACCCGATGGACACAGTACTGTTGACTCTTCTTAAGTATTTTGGGCTGGCGGAGTAACAAGCCATGCGGGGAGGGCAGAGGTAAACACTTTTCCCAACGCCGGGGTCGGTGCGTCAGATGGTCGAGCAATCATCACGCTAACATCCAACGCACGTGATGAAATTGCAGCAATTATCGACTCGAATGTTGGCCATCAAGCAATGATCACACCAAGTACGACGATCCCGGATGATGGGGGGAGCCATGAATGTTCATAGGTATGCGGTAGCATGGCTACTGCATCCTACAAATACCGCAGCCCCTTGTGCAACAACCACCCTTTTATGCTTTTTTGTCTCTGATGATGGATTCGAGTAGGAATCCGAAACGTCAGGCTAATAAAGCTCTTGTCTCGGCGATCGTGTCTCCTTCTTCAAGTCTACTTCCTGGGACTCGTCTCTTCGCTCCTATTGGCTGGTGTGATTACGTTGGCTTGGTGTTACTGTGTGTTGCGGTGTATGTTCTGTTGGCGGCCTTGTTTCTTTGTTGCCGTGTCCACCTTTTTTAACCCAATGCCGACGGTCCATCTTGACTTTCGGCCTGTCGTCTCCTTCTAACATTCCCGTTGGATGTTTCAGGGTTAGGGTTTAGGGCTGCGGTTAAGGGTAAGGGTTGGGATTAGGGTTAGACTTAGGGTTAAGGGATTTGGGCTGGGGTCAGGGTTGGGGTTAGCGTTAGGGGTTAAGGCTAGGGGTTATTGTTAGGGATCAGCATTGGAGGTTGGGGTTAGGGCAACTACTTCTAAATCACTCAAAGTACAACCGCGCATTCCCCATAACTTCTCCTCTGGCATACAATTACTTGACCTCGTCGCCTGTGCGCTTCCCGGCCCCACCTGTAAAAACCCCGGTCCCGTATTACAGGTGGCTGGGGTTTGTTTGCCTCAGGTGCGACCACATAACCACATCCGACCCCACAGACCATCCTTTTCACACTCCGATGTCTTTATAGATATCGTCGTTATTCAGAGACCTTTTTTGTTGGACTTTCTATTCACCTTCGGTTTGTGAAGATATCTTCCCTCCTACCGCATGTCCCCGTCCTAAGAACTGGGTCAAACTAGGATGGATGGGTCCATGGCCCAGTCTAAGGGGTCATTCATCCAAGGAGAAAGAATTTTAGGCGATCATTGGTAAGATGATGGACACAATACTGTTGAGGTTGGGGTTGGGAGTTAGGGTAAGGGGTTAGGGCAACTACTACTCAACCACTCAAAGTACAACTGCGCATTCCTAATGGCTTTTCTTTTACATACAACTACTTGACCTAGTCGCCTGCGCGTTCCCCGGCCCCATCTGTGAAAACCCCCCATTACCACGGGTCCCGTATTACAGGTGGATGGGATTTGTTTACCTCAGTTGCGACTACATAGCCGCATCTGACCCTTAGTTGCTTAAGTAGTATGGTTTTTCGCACTGATTTTCGTCGCTCTTATAAATACCATGGTAGTATCTAGAAAACATGCACGAAAATGTCCTTCATTATGCACATTTGGCAGCAAACGACGCATTCATCAGTTTTTTTGCTTAGATAACTTCTTCCGGTTTTTAAAGGAGCTTGTAATTATCAGGTTTTCGGAACCGCGAACCGTCCACTCAAGTAGCATCGTATCTATCTGTTCAATAATGCACCCAATGAACCACTCGACATGACCCACATTTACTGAATGTGGTATATTCCTAACGGAATAGGGAATATATTATTGTCCTTAGATTGAAATCCAAGTGGACTAAAGAAAACAACTGGCGATACTTAGTTGTACGTGCCAGAGAAAGGAATAAAAAGTCCTCGCGGTGGCTGTTGCGTGAGGGTGGTCGAGATGCTTTAAGGCAGTCATCGGAGAACGACAATGTTATACCTTGTTGACAATGCATTCAAATGGGCGTTAAGTTCGTTTACTATTATCACTAAATGTTAAAAAATAGTGTCACTTTTTAATTGGCGACAATACGGAAGGTCAACATTTGTGATACCACAAGGTTCCTAGATGTTCACTCTTTTGCTCAAAACAAATGATCCCCGAAGTAAGTAATCCTGACCATATTTCGCGGTATTTTTGAAACGCTTGAATGCTAGCTTTTGAGCGCACTCCTTTTCGCCTGTCTGCGAAGACCGTAGCTACTGAAAGTGGTGACTCATGTAGTGTACATTTTATCTATCGATTTTCAATGCTCTTATAAATTCATAAATATTTTGCGGAAAACATATACAAAAATATTCTTTCATGTACTCATTTGGTGGCAAGTCACGTCTCCTTCAGACTATGTACTCGAAGAAAGGGTATCCTTCAGTTTTAAGAAGGCTTCCAATCATGAGATTTTTTAAGCTCGTAAAATATCCATTCGAAGATCATCGCACCTGTCTGTACGATAGTGCTCTCCATTAAGTATAAAACATAGTCCGCATCCGTTGCAACCTTTCATGAGGCTCGTATGGCACTTTTTAAAGGTATAAAGGAACATACATATTTCTTTACCCGGATAGTATGCAGTTTGTAGACTGAAAACCCTAGGCAAAAATGTCAAGGCAGATCGAGTTCGTAGTTATTTGGGAATAGGTAAACGTTCTAAAATCGTAAGACAACCCATGTTCGAGTATTAAATGTAAAGAAGACATTATTTGCTACTACATGAGTGAAAAAGTAATATATTTATGGAGGTTTTCTATAAAATGTTGTTTAATTTGCAATGACTTTGAAAACCGATTGAGAAAAATGTGCGCTACTCGAGTAGTCATTTTTAACGGGCATAGTTTTTGCCTGAAGTCGAAAAATGCATTCAAGAGCCAAAATCCTGACCTGTCTGAGACATCACGGATTACTCCGCAAGATAGCCAGTATTACAGCCTCACCTAAGTAATTCTTTCTAAACAAAAAGGCCAATTCAGAATTTTGGTCAACATTTCATGAGATCGATCACTAACCGTATATTTACGATGACCTAGACCCACTTAATCAAAATATTTTCCTTACAGTCAGCAAGTCAGATCTTCTGTCGGGTGACTTTTTACCATGATCGGATGTCTGTTATCCGGTGTCGGTAATTGCAGCCGAGACGTAGGTGACACACAGGTAGACGCGAACCGCCGCAGTTTTGAGAGCCACTGCGCCCAATCCCAGCATCAGGTGACTGACAGGCACGGACATTAGCTAAATGACTACGAGGGAGAGAGTGAGGACGGCACTGGAAAAGTCGTCCTCACGGCACGTCAGCGCTTTTCTCGCCATTATAATTTCGGTGCGCTTTAAAACTAGCACTATGCGCTACAAGTAATGACTTGGAGGGCTGTCAGTCGACTAGATATCTCGGTTCTCGCGGTCAGTACTCCTCCTCCTCCTCCTCTTCCTCCTCTTCCTCCTCCTCCACGGCCCCAACGATGGCCGCTCTGGCGGCCTTCACGCATATCAACACGACACCCAACCCTGACACAACAACAGACACCACCGCTGCAACCTCCGACTCCAGAGGTGAGGACCAGGACTACACCTGCCCTCACTGAGACCGCACCTTCACCTCACGCATCGGTCTGGTCGGTCACTTGCGAATCCATCGCACAGAGGCTGACCAACCAGCGCCTGGAGCACCAACCTACACTCGCCGCACTTGCCTCCACTTGCCCCCGCACTTTCACGCATCGCATGGGCCTATTCGGCCACACGCGCATCCATGAGGGCGGAATTGGCCGCACTCCCGACACACCCACCACGCCCAGCCCCACCCTCACTTCATCGCCCTGTGCGCCCACCACCATCTCCGCAACTGACACCGACACCGCCGATTTCTCGTGCCCACACTGTCCATGCACATTCATCTCACGCATCGACCTGGTCGGTCCCAAGCGAATCCATCGCACAAAGACTGACAAACCAGTGCTTGGAGCACCCATCTACACCCATCGTACTCGCCTCCAATGTCCTCGCTGCCCCCGCACTTTCACGCATCGCATGGGCCTACTCGGCCACATGCACATTCACGAACACCTGCGGTAGACAACCGCCGGTTACACCACACATCCACACTCCCTACCTTCCCCCACCATCACCACCATACATCAATACTCCCCCACCGCATGCACCCAACTGCCATCTTCCACGCAAGTGGGAAGTGTGCATCTCGACTCGGTCCACGTGCGGCTTCAACTGCACGGGCGACTTGAGTCTGAGACTATCCCGACACGTCAAGCGTCGTGTATAGGAAGGTTGCTGATTGACGCCCTCACTCGGTTCACACAGTTCGTCCCGTTGTGTGTGTGTTGTGTGGAGCGATGGACTGGTGAGCTGGGAGACGGGCTGAAACAGCACCTTCCACGGCCCTCTCACGCAGGTGAGAGACCCGCCGTTCAACTCCCGTTGAGCGAAATCCTGGTGTATGTGTGTGTGGGGGGCCAGGTCGTGCCCGTGGCGCACGCAGACATGGTCACTCGATCATGCCAGTCACCGCGCCCATTCTGCGCTCCAGTCTGCTGACCGGCTCGGACAGTGGCTGGTGTGGGACTGGGAAGGGAGAGTGAGGTCGACGACTCAGCGCACTTTCCTCCTCACTATAAACAGTCTGACGCGCTTGAAGCTATCACGGTGCGCTAAAAGCTGTGGCTTGAAAGGTTGCCAAATGATGCTTCAACTCAGCCTTCACATTCAGCCCAGTGTGTGTTTGTGTGGGGTGGCTGGCTGGTGATCCGAGAGTCAGACTGTAATGGCTCCTTCTTAATGTGGCCTTTAGGGCACACCCACTGTGTGGGATCCGAGTCGGGCGTTGGCGGCACGCCTAGGTGTGGCTTTGGTCGCGCCGGCCCCCAATCCGTGTTGTGTTGACCAAAAACCTGGTTATTTGTTGTGTGGACAAGGGGGTGTGGTGGAACGCCAAGGCGCGAGCTCGACCGTGCCATCCACCTGCGGCCTCCCTCGTCTCCGGTCTTCTTAACTCTGTCTTGACACCGGGCTCAAATGGGGGAGGAGGAGAGAGTGTGGTAGATGCAGCGCAAGTCTACTGGCACTACAAACCCCTATGCAACTTACCGTCCCTGTTCCCACCATCTGCTGTGGGGCAAACGGTGGACATCGTTGAAATCGACGCTCAAACTGTCGTGTGTGTGTGTGTGTGTGGGCAGGATGACGGCCTTATAGATCTTCAGCTTCGTGCTCATTTTGAGACCGTGACGATTCCAAACTGTGCTTTGGAGGCGGCCGAATGCTTGACTGGCTTCCGAGATCCCGCGAGCGACTTCGTCATCGATTTTGGTGCTACGGGAGAGGGTGCAGCCCACGTACGGGAAGTTATCCACCACTTGCAGTTGGGTGCCGTTCACGTTGATTTGCGGCGGCGGCTCGTTGGGAGGAGTGGCTGTGTTGGGTGACGGTTGATGCATGACCACTGTCTTCTGCGTGCTGATAACCAAACCGAAGTTCTCGTAGGCGGCGGAGAAGAGATTCATGCTCCGCTGCATCTCCTCTTCCGAGTTGGTGTTCAGGGCGCAGTCGTAGACGAAGAGAAGTTCGTGAACGGTGGTTGTGGATACGCGCGATTGGAAGTGCATCCGCCGTTGATTCAGAAAGTGACCGTCCGTCCTGTAGGCGATGCGGATCCCGGGACGTTCGTCGCGGTAGGCGTCCATCAGCATGGCAGAGAACACAGGACTGAAGAGCGTAGGCGCCAGCACACATCCCTGCTTCACTCCGTTGGTCACTGCGAAAGTCTCCGAGACAGCTCCGTTGTCCGTGACTCGCGCCATCATACCGCCGTGCAGCTGACGCACTATCCGAATGAATCGCTCGGGACAGCCGAATTTCCGCATGATCTTCCACAGTCCTTCACGATTCACCGTGTCGAAGGCTTTCGTCAGGTCTAGTTTTGTTAACCATTTTCCCAAGGCCCACCTCCGGTCATCTTAATACTGCCTTGCCATCGATGCCTGGTGGGTGAGAGAGGAGAGAGTGTAGTAGATGCTACGAAAGTCTGCTATCACTATAACCTGGTTTACGTTCATGCTTCCGCCGCTGCACCTATTCTGTGGGGTACTTGGTGGACGTCATCGTTCGCGAGGTCGAACTCTTGGTTGGGACGCAGCTTGAAAACGTCTGTTGTCGATCAGTCGCCTGAGTTGATAGAAAATACGTACGATAAGATACCTATTGTACTTCTAGTTTTCCAGCATGTATGTAGGCATTTATTTGAAGGGTTACAGGCAGAGCTAATATGAACTTTGGATACAGGTGGGCCATAACTCCCCTCCCCCCCGATTGCGAAAGACTTTAGTATTTATTTGGCGCCTCTTTAATGTGTTTACAACCGTAGGCCAGAGCCAAAAATAAGCAAATATGATAAAAGCGGTTCTAACGAAAAGAGAAGGGACAGCTTTGCCTTTTTCGGCCGAAAAAATCTTTAATTTTTTCCTGGCAAGTTCATAGATGGACAAAATGTTCAACTGTTTCGAGAGCATTTATTAGAGATGGTTCTCGAACTGACCAAGAGACTAGTCATTGTGGGCCTTCGTTGTGATAGTCATCTTTCTTTGACGATAAATTTTCATGTTTGGATGAATCTAGAAATATAAACCTGAGAGTCATCTACATGCAAAAGAATCCTCTAGAAGTGACCGTTCAAGTGAAAGCTCTCGCCAAGAAAATTTTGACAAACAGAAACTACGGCACATATCATGTTGCGCAACCGATTTATACGACTGAAAAGCGAAAAACACTCTCTGAAGTTTAAAGACCATCAGAAAACTTAGCGATTAGTGGAACTACAATAAGTGTGCTAACGCATGAAGTGTTAGTTGAAATTCTGAAATTCGGTTTCGTTTCAAAAAATTACTCAAGTAGCGTTTTAAAATTGCTCATCTTGCTGCATAATTCTTTAATAACTCAGTTACCTCGAAATGCCGGCTTTCCAATGATCTCCTTTCTGGCCGCATGCAAAAGCCACAATCTGTAGAAAATGATTGTTTAAGTAGCATGCATTTTCCTCATTAATTTTTGATGCCTTCAAAAACTCAACTATATTTCATAGAGAACATACATAAAAATATTCATTCATTTGCTTGTTCGGTAGAAAATGATGTCTTCTTCCAATTTCATACTCAAGGGAAGGGTATGATTCGGTTTAAAAAAAAACTATTCCAGTTCCCGAATTATTTTGAATCCGGCCTGCAGTTAAACTTACATTCAAGGTTTCAAACCTACAAGCCGTATATTTTCCGCGTACGGAAAACCGTACATTTCTCTACAGTATTAAAAGAAAATTATATGGGCTTCTTCAAATTTGGCAGTGGATTTGAGCCATATCGTTAACTTCACAAGCCACATTAATAAATAGAGAGACATGACGTTTTATGACCGGCCGTTTTAAGGAATTGAAAGATCCCACAATTGAAAACCTTTTTAAACCGAGTTATACCCTTCTTTTGAGTATAAAATTGGAAGGAGACGACATTTCTACCGAACAAGCAACAGAATGAATATTTCTATGCATTTTTCCATGACATATGCTTTAATTTATAAAGACACCGAAAATTAATAAGAAAAGTTCATGCTTCTTAAGTAGTCATTACTTGCAGAATGTGGCTTTTACATCGGCCGGAAAGAAGTCCTTTCGAAAACCGGCACCCCGAAGTTACTTAGTTATCATAGAATTATGCTGCATTATGATTAAGTTTACAACCTTACCTATGTAATCTTTTCGAAACAAAAACGCATTTCACAATTTTGGTTAACATTTCATGGGGCAGCACACCTACTGTAATTATATTCAAATTTCCCAGTCATTGTCATGCAGGCTTATGAAATCTTTCATTCTTGTAGCGGTCCTAGTCGAGAAATCAAGAGGAAACCTGTCGCTTTGATCAACAGTATTTCGCTGAATGCAAAAATGGAAAAAAGGCATTGACTTCTCATCGAACTACTTGGAAATACATAACCAAGAAGGAAACACTTGACTGGCTGTCATGCTGCGTACTACGCCATGTATTTAGGGAGATTTATTTCAAAGACTATTCCAAACAGTGTTTGGACATTATTTTGTTTATGATGTTTTATTTACTCAGCTGTCTGCCTGCACAGGTTTTGTGTACTTCCAGAAACCGAGTTTGCACATTTGAAGTAGATTGGTCGCACGAGTCGGCATTTATCCAAGAGAATACAGGAACACCTACCGGCATGGCTGGGAAAAGGTGAAACTAGGAGCATAAGCAGCATAAAGTCCCATCGAGCTATCCTAAGTTACTGGACCTGCGCATGTTGCAGCAGCAGAAGCGGCCGCCATCAGGTTGCGAAAACCGACCCTATGTGCACAGAAGAACCAAGTTCAGACTCCGCACCCACAGTAGTCGAAAATCAACTAAGGCCGCAACTCTCCCCGCGCCCTTCCGCTCTCACCCCGCCCCTGACCGCTATTACCCGCAACTCTCCGAGCCCTCCCGCTCTCGCCCCGGTCCTGACATTAACTGCAATTACCCCCAACCCCACCTCCCACATTCCTACGCCCCGCCTGTGTTTTAAGACGAACTTTAATCGATTTCTCTTATCACTGACACGTTTTTGCTTCTACCCCGTTCTCATATAACTGTACTGGCCCGACGAGAATTTATCGAAAGCTACGTATGCTCGCCACCTCGTCTTTCGATTACTGCTATGCGAATTTTCGCAACCCTAAAGCAGATTTCCACGCTTTTAGCATTTCCGTTTACCTGGGAAAAATGCTGCTTCTAACCGATGCAATATTACCTTTCAGCACTTATTTTGTATTTGCATGCAGTTGAATGTCGTTCATTATTAATTGGGAGTTTCGCTCAGTGTATTTAGCCCGATGGGTCCGCGACGTTCGGTGAATTTCCGCATATTTCGTGCGTTGCATCGCTCACTGTAAAACAAACCACTGTACCTAAAAAGCGACATTACAAAAATGATTTTTGAAAACAAAAGTATTAAATTAAAACATAGAGTAAGGATGAATTAATGAAGAGGCTGCATCAGGCAATGTTACCGAGGAGGACGAAAGTGGAAATGTGCGAAAACGTCGAAAATAGGATGAAACGATAACAAATAAACACACTTAGAATTGAGACAACATTTGAAAACACTACAATAGGTTAAAAAGACCTAGCACACGCATAAACGCCCTGCAGCCCTGACAACCAGTTGGCAGCGCGATAGCATGTGAAAATTCGCCAACGGATAATTAATATTTTAGCGACTCCCCTGGACCCTTCGCGCACATTCGGGCAAAGCACATGCACAGACTTGAAAAAACGTGTTTTAAAGAAGCCGATTTTTTGGTTGTGTCATAAATAAAAACTCTGCACTGTTAGCTGAGTTCCAATAAGATGGCCGATGGTCAAAGGGATCACTTTCCAGTAAAATGTCGTTTGGATGCGAGTGCTTTCTCACTATCAGCAGATATCTGCTGCCCTGGGCCAGTGACTGAAGTTACGACTTATCTTTGAAGAATCCAATGTCAACCAATCACCAGATTTTATCGTATCCTTCTACATCCCTTTTAAGTCTGTTCTTTCCATATCTGGCCGGTCTTAACTCATCTCGTTAACCACTATTTCGAGGAAAGTAATACATCAAACGCTTGGCGTACTGGCAGAATCACTTCAATACCTAGACAGTCAGATAATTTCGGTCCTAAATCCTTTTTTATAATTACTTCTTTATCCGCTATTCTGAAGCCCACCGAGCCAGATGTCCCAGTCAACTTCAGCGCGTATCCCTGCGTTGTCTCGAACCCCTGAAGTCCACTGTTGAAGATCATAGCCGCACCTTGAACGCCCTTGCCCCCGTGGAATTGGAAAAGTTTTTAAAAACGGAACAATACCGTTCCTTCGAGTATAAAATCGAAATAATACGTAATTTTCTACCAAATGAGCAGAGGAATGATTATTTTTATACATGTTTTCTATGAACTATAATAAGACTTTTGGGGCATCGAAAATCAGGGACGAAAAGTTATGCTACTTAAGTGGCCATTTTCTACGGAGTATAACTTTTGAATGCTGCCGAAAAGAAGTTCATTCGAAAGCCGGCATCCTGGGGTAACTGAATTATTATAGAACTATACCGCTTGATGATCAGTTCTCCAACGCTACTTAATTAATCATTTCGAAACGAAGGCGCATTTCGGAGTTTCGGTTGACATTTCATGAGTTAGCCCACCTACTGTAGTACCATCACTTCTGCTTGATCCCTACCGGTCGTCTACAGTCGCACAACGACTAAGCTAATAACATGGCTGATGGTCGCCCTGTTAAAAATGATGCTACTCTCCTTTTTCTTATGGATCCTGATTGGTCGTCTCAGAAAACTGTCTTACACTCAAAAGCCCAGAAGTCTGCTCAGTGTGTTTTTGGCTGTGTGCACGTCCACACACTGAATCTGCCGACCCTCTCCCCAATATCGTTTCCTCTTCTAATCAGTAATCGAGCCCTCACGTTGATGCCCTTCTACGCATTCATAAGTTGGTGCTGTTTAGATGCTCATATTTTCCCTCCAATCCCTTACTATATTTATAACATTCTTCCGAGCTGGAGAAGCATATGTATGATCTCTTATACTTCTGAGTATCTATTCTTTTTTTTCAAGTCGATACTATAGTACAACGACAAGTTGCAACTGCCAGGAATTCTTATAATTAAATTCTTGGTGATACTACCTGCCGTGAGGCCACTCCATCCAGTCAGACCCTGCTGCCGCCAATTCTCCTGTCCTGTGTCGGTATATCGACAATCAGCCGAACCCTCTCGGACACACAGT